TTATGTCTTACAGGGCTTATACTGAGTTCAATAATATATAACTGTAATAAATCAACTGTAAATCTAAAAATTTACAGCCAATTGTGAAAGAGATGCATCTTAGCTCTGGAAATAGTTATTGAATATGTCAATGCTGTTGTAATGAAATGCTTCTTCTAATTATGTGATTAAATAATTTTTTAAAAACATGGGATGTGAACAATTTCTAGGAATGTGTTTTGTCTGATTTTTCACACACTATAGACCAACAGATTGATGATTTACAAAAGGAAATCAATGTCTGAATTTTCTATACCTTGGCCAAAGTGGCTCCAATGGCTTGCTCCATTCTTGGGACCAATATTGATTGGCATACTTCTTTTTATTGGCGCACCAAGTTATGTGCTGTATTATAATTTCAATTAATAATACTGTGGCCTCTATGGCCACTTCATTCTTATTTTTAAAAAACAAAAAGGGAAGAGATGTAGGAAACCAGGATGCCAGGCCCTAGGATAAGATGAGCCTAAGACTTTTAAGTCCAGGCTGCATTCTCTGCTAAAAGGAGGGGCACTGAAAACAGTGGCTTTGATAATCCTTGTCTTGCAGAACACTGTGAGACTGCCAGGAGGAAGCGGCCAGGCTCCCTGCTCTGTGGGAAAGTGTCTTGGTCAACAACCCTTAGCTCATCTCCTTGTCCTGAACAAATAACTCAGCTATCCCTGGCTAAGAGATTAGGCCAGGTTAAAAGTTTACTCCTGAGCTAAAAGCTAAAAGTTCACCATGCTTCTAACTCTAAGAAAGAAAACACTGTGGCCAATAAATTACTGGATGGACATTGATAACCTTGAGTAAAAGTTTAAGAATCCTTCTGGTCCCAACTAACAGACTAAATGTCCTGTTTCGTTGTGCCCTAAATCTTTGTATGTGACTGTCATATCCTACGTGACTGCTAGTTCCTTGGGATATACAAAAACCATCTGAATTTTAAAATGGCTTGTTGAAAAGAAAAAAAAAAAAAGATGTGAGATTACAGCAAACTATTGTTCGCCCCCAAATACCAGTGTCTTCCCTTTAATTTTCCCTTGAGTAGATTTGTCATTTGCATCACCCAAACTGATTTGTTCCTTTTCATAAGCTCATTGGACTCTGAGGACTTTGGTGCACATCGACAGCACATTTACTTAGTAGTAGGTGGCCCCCTTGCCATACAGTGTAGATCCTGCTTAACAGAGCTGCTTTGCTTGACTGAGTGCTTTGAACTCAATCTTTAAAAATGTACTAGTTAATGCCCGGTGTTGTGGCACATGCCTTTAATCCGAGCACTTTGGAGGCAGAGACAGGCAGATCTCAGTGAATTCAAGGCCAGCCTAGTCTACATAGTGAGTTCCAGGCCAGCTGGGGTTACAGGGAGACCCTTTTTAAAAAAAAAAAAAAAAAAAAAAAAAAAAAAAAAAAAGCACTAGTTATAAATACAGACGCCAGGCATGGTGGTGCATGCCTTTAATCCCAGACTCGCCTTGAGGCAGAGGCAAAGGCAAGAGGATCTCTGTGAGATCAAGGGCCTGGTCTACATATCAAGTATCAGACAGCCTGGGGTTACAGGGAGACCCTGTCTCAAGAAGACCAACCAACAACCAAACAGAAGAGCCATCTACTCAACCTAACAAGCACCCTGAAAATTCCTATCCTTGAGACTATGTAGATGTCAGTTCCACATTTGCTGTAAACTGATCAGAACATCTGGCAGAAAATGACTGAAACTTTGCATCTTTTATGTATTACTTGATGTTAATAAAGCTTATTTTCATTAAAAAAAAAAAAACACCACCAACAAAAAAATACAATTATGGGAGCTGGGAAATGGCTCAGCAGCTAAGGGTGTTTTAGCTGCATGTGGTGGTACACATCTTTAATCCCACCAGTCAGGAGGCAGAGGCAGGTGGATCTTTGCAAGATCAAGGTCAGCCTGGTCTACATACCTACATCCAGGCCATCTGAGGCTACAGGGAGACCTCGTCACAAACAAACAGAGCTTATTGCTCCTGCAGAGGACCTGAGTTTGGTTCCTAGCACCCACATTGGGCAACTCACAACTGCTGGTAACTCCAGCTTCAGGGGACCTGACACCTTCTTCTGGACTCCACAGGAACCAGCTCTCAGACGTGAACATATACACACACATACACACATACACATACTTAAAAATATTTTTTTGTGGCCTCATGGGCCAAATCTAGAATGTAAGTACACCTGATTATTGCCAACACTTGTTTGGGAAATAGGCATATTTGTGACAGAAACACCTACCCAACTACCACTTCCCAACTATTGAATCTTTAAGAGACAGGGCCTCACTATGTAGTCCTGGCTGGCATGGAACTCACGTAGACCAAGCTAGCCTCTTAAGCCTCGACCTCCCAAGGGCTTGGGACTAAGGGCATGCACCACCATACCTGGCCTCCAACTACCTAATCTTGTAAAAGACAAATTCTCATCTGTGAGACTACCATGGACTGAAGCTATGATCAAGGATCTATTTGTAAAAAATCTTTTTGTTTTCCTGTTTATTGAAACGGGGTTTCACTATTGTAGCCTTGGTTTGGAACTATGTAGCCTAGGCTGGTCTTGAACTTAAAATTCCCCTGCCTCAGCTCTCCACATTCTGTGATTATAGGCATGTACCACATCAGGCATGAAAATACCTTTTAACAAATCAAGGTTTTTACCAGGGCACCTAGCTGTGGTAGAGTGCTTGCCTAGCATGCATGAGGCCTTTAAACTTTCAATAAATTCCCAAATCAGAACATATACAAACATAAAAAATAGACACCTTGAAAGCTTAATAATGCTTGTTGCCTAAATACTTTTGGATATACAGTTGTTGAGAGACTGAAAAACAGGGCTGTATTTTGCAACAACTCTATTAAAGGGAACTTATTTACTCATCCCTTCTACCTAGCAGAATCAAGCGACTTGTTTTGACTGTATGTGGTACAAGTTCTATTCTGTGAGTTCCTGGGCCCAGGCTTTTAAATTCCCCTTACCCTCTTGGTACTGTAGGACTACCATGCCAAAAGCTTTTTTTTTTTTTTTTTTTTTAGACAGGGTCTAACTGTCACCCCAGGTGGCCTACAACCCACTATGTAGACCAGGCTAGCCTTGAACTTGCAGAGATCCGCCTGCCTCTGCCTCTGGTGCCACCACATCTGGTGGCCATGCCAAAGCTTAAGATAAAAGACCCAGCCATCCCAACCAGACCCCAGAAAGACTAAATGATACTTGCAAAAGTACCATTTCACTAGCTTCAACACTGTGGGAAGTGAAATTCTTTAAGCCATTAGGTTTGTGTATGTTGTTAAACAGCTACTGATCACTGACAGCAAACTGCCTAATCTCCATAGTACATCATGGTGGACAAAATGGTGCAGGAAAAAGACCTGGGCTAAGTAATCTGCCAGTTATACCACTTGTGCCCCAAGAACTGACACTGACAGGCCAGCTCTCATCTCCTTAGCTGCCATCCTGAATTTGGTCAGTTCTCTTTGCCAAGGACTGAGGCAACATGCAGAGCTCTGACTATAACAAAGTCTTAGTATCTTTTTATAACCAGGTATGGGCAATGTGTCCTGATCTGACACCTCTGCTAGGCTTGCCCTGCCAAGGTACACACTACAAACTATTATTAAGACCCAGGATTACAGCAAATGCATCCCATTCTGCTGTGTGAAGCTCAAATAACACTAATTCATCTCAACACAAAATAACCCAATAGGTAATTAAATTCATCCATTAACGTTCTAACCAGCAACAACAGAAGCCCTAACTATTTATAGCAGGAGCCACACAGCATATAATATTAAAGAGTCATGGGGCTGGAGAGATGGCTCAGTAGTTAAGAACACTGGCTGCTCTTACAGAGGACCTGGGTTCAATTCCCAGCACCCACATGGTGGGTAACAACCATCCATAACTCAGTTCCAGGGGAATTCAAAGCCCTCTTCTGACCTCCTAGGGCACTGCACAACACAGATGCACTTATATGCAGGCAATACACTCATACACATAAAATAAAAATATTTTTAAAAACCAGTTAGGTAAATTATAGTTTCTTACTTTTATTTTTCTGGACCTTAAACCAAAAAAGAAAAACCAGAATATATTTCATTTTGAAGTATGAAGTATATGTGAAAACTGTGAGACTGATTAGCAAATATGTTTTTGGAGAATTTATCAAAAGAATGTGTTCTGACCCCACCAAAAATAAGGTACCTTAAGTTTAAACAAAATTTACATTTTATTTAGATTGAAATAAACTATACAAAATTGATTTTATTCACCAAAAATAACAGCAATATTTTCTGTATTACTTTTTAGATAAACCACAAAACATTAATTTTTATAGGTTCTGCTTATAAATCAAGACGAGACAGTAGATATAATCATGGTTTAAAAAGACAGAAGAAAACAGACAAGTCAGTTGCCTGTATGGATGGCCTCTGGGTCTGTCATGACCATGAAGTAGAAGTCAGTATACCTGCTGAGAAGCTTTTGAAAGTGTGGGCTCAACAAAGGAATGTATTCAGCAACAACCAGATGTGGAATGACAGCTCCAGGATCTGCCATTCAATCTGTAACTCGTTCGAGTTCCTTTCATACATACAAAAATCTACACTGAAATCTGCTTGGTGAGCTCACCACCACCCCTCTGCTAATTTCTGTAACTGTCCATTATGCAGCTGTTTTTTGCTGTTGTTGCCTTTTGCAATGCTGAGGAATGAACCCAGGGCTTGCACATGCTAGGCAAGTGCTCCCACCACTAAGCTACATCCCTACTCCCTGTTTTTTGAGACACAGTCTCACTATGTAGCCCAACTTGGCTTAAAATCTGTGATCCTCCTGCCCACCTCCCAAGTGCTGCTATTACAGATTTTAAATATCACACTTAAAGGTCCTACTAGTCAAAAGTCAATAATGGACTTCATTCTAACAAATTATAAAATGCATTCCTCTCTTCAATTCCTTCTCAAAATTCATTTCTTTAAAGACCTGATAATTCCTGACAACTGGATACACAATGATGTTTTATCTAAAATGACTTTAACTAAAACAATTCCAGAGTACCACTAGCAGACAGTCCCAAGGTGAATTTTGGCACTCATAATGTCATCCTCTGGAAGAGCAGGTATTGAAAGCATAAGAGTTCAAACAGGGGCCATTTAAGTAAGTCATTGCCAATGACTAATGTATTCAACTGGAGGCCTATCAGCAAGGTATTCAGTGATTAAGTGGCCTATTATTACATTTTACAGCTTTTCTTCCAAATACCAAATATAAGACAAAACCCATCCTAAAAAATCTCTTAGGTATTTTCAATGGTTTCTGAATTATTTGTAGGAAGCTCTGATTTATTTGTGTAGAGTTTGATGTATGTGTCCACCATTAAATCCAAATCATGTTTTATATCAAAATTTATGTTAAGCAAAGCCAAATTACTTGACCTCTGGTCTGTCAAAGTATTCCGCAAGTATGCTTTGAGACGCTTTCGTCCATTTTCATAGCGTTCATTCTCCACCTTCATTACCGGGAGAATGCACAGGACCTTCAGCAAAGCATACACGTTAGGAAAAAACTTGATATCTGGCAGATGGAGGGCTTCATAAATGGTGGATGGCAGCTCTATATCTTTGCCTCTGTGTTTCCACTTGATTCTCCAACAGTGCAGCTCGGCTGAGAGCGTGTCCGGATTGGGTAAGTCACTTCTGTACATGTCAGCGTGATGTTCCTCTGACGTGTTGAATTTGAGCTGTCCCATGACTGAGGGTACCAGAGACAAGCACTTCAGAGCTTTGAGGTGCTGTTCGGAAAATATATCTTTAAGTTCCTGAATAATGTGCTCCACTGTTGGAACACTGAGGCTTTCTTTATAGTAACTCTCAGAGGTTAGCTGAGATTCCAGGTTACCCTGCTGAGCCCTACGGAATTTCCCTGGGAGTTTCATTTGAATGTCAAGTTTGGTTGCTAAATTTGTGGCTTCTTCAAACCAAAACTCATGATAAACTTCAATGTTTTCCATCACCTCGTTGAGGGAATGCAGTACTGCAGTCAAACTACTGGCTGCAAAGAAGACATCAGAAGTTTGTCCCTGGAGATTCTTCCCAAAGGCCCTTGTAAAAGATAAGACATTTTTAAGAACAACAATGGTAACAATGAAGTCAAAATCCGTCACTGCACTACAGAGCACAAATGCTCGGCCAGCTATACAGTTGTTCCACCTAGTATTTGTGTCATTGTTTATTCCATCTAAACATAAAACAAGTGCTTGTAAGAGGTCCACCAGAACTTCAAAAGCGTCGTGCCTGCCTGACCACTGAGAATGGCAAATTTCTTTCAGTTCCTTACCCCGTTCTTCACTATTCTGAAAAAGAACAGAAATTACGTTGTCAAGCTCTAAAAGCAGCTGTGGTGATCGATGGAAAAAAGAACAAACTTCCTCAATTGTTCCTAGAGCAACCGATACCCCCATCACAGGGACGGACTTCACCAACCACGAATTTAAGGCACAGGAGGAGCAGAGTGTGTAGATGGCTTGGGGATATTTCTCTAAAAGTCTTGACGCAACAACTTTCATCTTGGAAGAAAATCCACTGGAGACAATGTAAGCCTGGCCACGACAATACTCCATATTTAGTCCCCATTTCTCAGTTATTGTGGTGTGAAATTTCACAGCCAGAATCTCTGCATCAGCCTCATAGGGCAGAAAGCCCACAAACTCCTCTCTCAGGTTCTGAGACTCGTCCACAAACCTCACCAGTACAGGCAGGTGCTCTTCCCCTGCTATGTCCACCACATCATCCGTGATAATGGAGAAGAAGTGTGAGTCTCTCACCTCCCTGAGCGTTTCCTCCCGGATGCAGCTCTCACAGATCTCCAGCATCTGCTTCTGCTGGGTTTTAGAACAGAATAATGTGTTGACTGCTGTGGTCTCAAAGCGTTTTCTCAAGATCTCTTCACCAGAATTTATCCGGCATTCCAGAAGTGCCTGAAAGTTATCGGGAGTAAAGAGACCCTCTGGGATCTCATCGGCCTCATGCCCATCCAGAGGTATGTTTTGTTTTCCCATGAGAATCAAAATTTCGAATAAAGACTTTAGGTACTCTTTGTTTTCCTTCTCTTCAAGGGTTAAAGGCAAAATGTTCCCATCCTGCTGGTTACCCCCTTCTGCACTGGGGTTCTGAGCATTGCTGTTAGTTTCATGTTCTTGTTCAGAAGTTTCATCAACTGGAAAACAAAGAGTTAATTTCTACAGACAGGTTCATAAGAAACCGTAAAAGATAAAACAACAAACTACAATTCTGATTGGCTATTTTCAAAACCTACAAACACATTCATTCCACATTTATAGGGCATTGACTGGAACACAGAGTAGGACACAGATGCAGACGGTCTCAATCCCACTTGATAAATGAGGACAGTAAACAACCTGCCTGAGGTCACAGATATAATTAAAGGATAGAAATTAAATCAAGTCCAAGGTCCATGTAGACGTGGCTTCTATCAAACAAGTCACATTTTTATATGGGAGACTGCTCTACAAAAGCCAACATAAATACACATTTATGTAACTGGGAGGGACAACTAATATTAGAATACTAGCAATCTCAGCCTAGTCTCTTCATATTTGGATGACAAAAGTGCCCCACCCATCGTCATACAAGACAGCAGTGGCCCCAAGAAAAGAATTAAAATCTGAAGAATCTAAAATCCAGTTCTCACAATATAAGTCTATGAGAAGGTCATCAAAAATTGTCCAGTATCAGTGAGAAGAGCAGGAAAAAACTGAGAACAAGTTGCATTTGACAATGACATGGATATGAAAGACAGGAGCACGGAGGGTGTATCGGGAGACTTGGTAGGATTCCAACCAAAGCACTAAGGTGGAAGAGACAAGCAGGCTCCTAAATACAGAGCAAAGTCTAGTGTGACTGGGGCTGTGTAAGCTACTCCTCAGTATCCCAGGCCCTGAGAGCTCCTCCCTCCACCTTCCTCAGCTGACACGGCTCTTCTGTCATCATATACTATAGAGCAGTAATCCTATACTATGTAGGTTTTCCCAAGTCAGAAAGCAAGACGTTCACCAGGATGCCTGCCTTACGGCCTGCCCCTGCATTCCCATCTCCCCTCTGTTCTCCTTGATTCTTTTCACTTCCAATAAATAAGTACTAATTCTATTCTATGACTCTAAAAAGATGCATAATAGAGTTTATTCACTATATACTATGAAAACCCAGTCTCTCTCCTTTTGGACTGCTTCCCATATGTGAGTCACCCACACACAAGTTTCCTGAGCTCTGGCCCCTCTGCCTGCAATGCTGCCTTTCCTAATTCAATAGAGTACGCCATGTAAACATCGAAACTTGGGCTATGTTATCATCTACTTAAAAACCCCTCAATGGTTCCAAACGCCAGCAGCTCACAACCCTGCATGTTCTGCCCTCTGTGGTCTCCTCTGGGTTCATCTGCTAAGTATCTCAGGCTATCAGAATTCCTAACAACACCTAAATGAATGTGGTTTCCCAAATCTAACACCTTGTTTTGTGCCATTCTACTTATGTATAGAGCACCTTTCCTTCCTTCCTTTGTCTATGTTCCTTCGCCTATAAAGGAGCTACTGTGAGAATTACATGAGTTAAGTAAAGCACCAGAAAAATGGCATGGCATCATCAAATGTTATAGTAGCAGAGGACGAGAGGAGGAAATGGCAAGAACAAAAACAACTTCTCGCCCCATCTTTGACGGCACAGGTCAGACATCTGTACCAACTGCCTCTACAGCATTTATTCCCTAAACATTTACCAAAAAGCAATTATGTATCACAGGTTGAATGGATGGAACTGGAGTGCTTCCTCTATTGGTACTTCTCCTTCTCTATACTGGAATTATGTCGTCTGCCACTTCTACTACACTGAGCCCCTGGAGGAAAGAAATTCCCTTTGTGCTTTGCACATGACAAAGTACATGGCATAGCATTACTCAGCAAAGACAGAATGAACTAAGACTTCAGTCTCAGATAATTTCAGGTCACAGGACAAAGCCAACCACACTCTTCCATCCATTTTCAAAGTAGTTTTTTTGATACAAAACATTTATTTGTCCTTACCAGGTCAAGGCCTTTTTAAAAGGCATTCAGAAGCTGAGCCATTAACACTATCACTTACTTTTTTTCTGTTTCAGTGTCCTGATTTCATCTTCACTCTAAGACAGGGAAAAAAACAAAACAAAACAAAACAAAAAAAACAAAACAAAAAACTTTGAGAAAACTGACCTTTAGTAAATTATTCTAGACCAAAATAAGCATATTTTGACCAAAAGTTTACTTATTCAAGGTCATAAGTTTTTTTTGTTTGGTTAGGTTTTTTAGCGGTTTTTTAAATTTTTTAAAATTTTATTTTAGGTGTATGAGTGTTTTACCTGCATGTATATATAAATGCACCCATGTCATGCAAAGACTGCGGAAGCCAGAAGAGGGCATCAGATCCCCTGGAACTGGAGTTCCAGATGGCTGTTAGCTGCCATGTGGGTGCTGGGAACTGAACCTGGGTCTTCTGCAAGAGCAGCCAGTGCTCTTAACCACTGAGTCATCTCTCCAGCCCTCTCCAGTGCTTGGTCAGGGTTTTTTGTTGTTCTGGGTTTTTTTTGTTTTTTTAAGAAAGGTCTCCTGCAAGCCAGGCTGGTCTTGAATTTGCTAGGCAACTAATGATGACTTTGAACTTCTGATTCACTTGCCTTTACCTCCCAAGAGCTGGGATTAGTTGTGCACCACCAAGCCTGGTGGTTTATGTGATGCTAGGGATCAAACCCAGACTTCATGCATATTATACAAGCACCCTAATCAATGAGCTACATTACATCCTCAGTCCCAAAGACCATAAATTCTTTATGTGGAATACATTCTTCAGATGAGAGGAAAACAAAACAATATAATTTGCTAATGATCCCACACTTACAATAAAGCCCTAGAAAAGAAAGCACATTTAACTTATTTTCTACCTGAAGCATCCTAACTTGGACCACAAACATTTATTGAATAATAAATGAAATGAAAGTACACTGCGGCACATAGTGCCAAATCCAAGGGGATACAAATTATTTCCCCTTCCCAATCTAACCCTGAAGATACCACAAAATAGGGAGGCTGCTGAATCACAGAACCTGACTGAAGAGGATGAGAAGTTTACAGAAGCAGAAGGCAAGAGAAGAGCACAGAAGAGATGAATGCACAGAACACAGTCCATGTGCCCAAAACCCACAGTGGCAGGTAGACTGAGGAAGAACTTTCTAGCTTTGTCTTTTACTCTCCCTTCAACTCCACAACCTGTTACCATCTATGGTAGGAAAACAACAGTGCCATCGAGAACTGGAGACTGCAGGGTACCCAATGGGCAGCTCTGGATTCTGCCGCTAACAGGAAATATCTGCAGGCTGCTTAGCTGGAACATGCCCTCCCCAGCATGGAGGGCAGCACAATTGCAAGGATGGCAAATCTCGAAGTGTGCCTACCATGAAGAGAAGTGACAGGGAAGTGACAGCTATGGAACAGGAAGAGGCTGAGCTCCTTGCCTGGATAGAGTGTACTAAGAAGAAAGCTGAAGTGAATGAAGGCCTGCCTAAGTGTCAGCATTCACCTATGGGAAGTCCCAGAGAAAGAGAAGGGAAGAACAGTAGGAAGAAATACAACAAAGGTTTCTCAGAATGTGGAAGATTTAAGTCCTCAGATAACGGTCATCAGGCTACATAACAAAGAAATCGAAGTCATGATTTATGCATCATTTAACATTCAAAAGACAAATATGAAATAGTTTGGAAAAATAAAAATAAGAATAATCTTGGTTAAAGAAACAGGAAATTTGGGGCTGGAGAGATGGCTTAGCAGTTAAGAGCACTAGCTGCTCTTACAGAGAACCCAGGTTCGGCTCCCAGCACCCACGTGGCGGTTAACAATTAACTCTAATTTCAGGAGACCTGACATTCTCTTCTGACACACATGGTACACTTACATACATACAGGCCAAACACTCAACATTTTTTAAAAAGTGGCTACAAATTTTTAGGTTCACACTTGAATTAATAGTTATACAATATTGAACTCAGTATAAACCCTGTAAGACATAAAACTGAATGAGTTTTTAACCTTTAATGATCTCTATTTCATTTAAAAATATGCTGTTTCCTACATTTTTAATGCTAGATGTTTGCATATGTGTCTTTAATCTTTATGTATCTGATTATTACTAGTCACAGTCAGTTACACTCGGGTCCTTAGCACCCGAGTATAGATATAAAGTCATCAGGTAGACTTCAATGGTAATGTTTATCACCTCTACTAATTAACATGAAGTAAATTTTTATGCTTCCTCCTCAAATACAAGTCTTTTCTTTTTAATTTGTTGATTTTTTTTGTGTGTATCTCATACAGAACATCTCACACAATCTTATTCATCTATATACCCACTTCCCAAATGGCCCCCTCTCATAGCCGCCCCCTCTTGCTGGAACCCATATACTCTGTCATCCCTGTTACTGTCCACTGTGTCACTGGTGCACCCAGCCTTCCCCAGTGCTTGTCCATCCACTGAATCTAGTCAGCCTATCTAGAGGTTCTTATTTTAGGAAGGTCAGCTGTTCCTCATCTAGCAGCAATCAGTAGTCAATATTCATTTAGATAGGATTGGGGTATGCTGTTGATTTCCCCTGGGGTATGCTGGGTTACTCTCTGTGAGTCTTTTCGGCCCCCCTGGACAATAACTCAAAGGAAGATATCTCCTGTCTGGCATTGTTTCTTGTTATGTAGACTTTAGCTATACATATGGACTCAAAAAATTATATTGACCTCATTAATCTTTGGTTATACTTTCCTTTTGGGTGTTTAAGACCCTACAGTTAGCCCAGATAAACCAATTTATTTTTACTCTTAAGGTCATTTGGGGATCTGTTCCTCAGGGGGAACATGGGCTTGGGAGGAGCCCCTGGCTCTATTCTTTAACCAGTTCTGTCTATGTGAAGGTAAGTCAAAGGTCCTGCTCGACCATGGCTGGCTTCACTTGGAAGCATGGAAGAAATGTTTCCTGTGTTGACCCTCCTCTTTGTAGACTGGACACTGGTTCAGATCCATCTGGTGGGGTCTCCATGGCCTCCTTGATCAAGAGGACAGGTGACTCACCACAGTTACAGGACATTTTGAGAGATGCTCAGTCCCCTGGAACTTAGTCAACCTAGGAGGGAAAAGAGCAAAAACTGTCCTTTATGTCCCTCTGTCCAAATTAGTATATGCTTCATAGTATGGCTGTTAAACATCCAAGAAGATTAGTTCCACCAGTCTGGAAATTTTAAGTACCATGTGCCATGTAAATAAAGCTTGGGCAAAGACTAAATGCTCTCAGATAAATCTTGCCTAGACATATATTATATTCTTTGATTTGGTTGTATGTATAATTTGTCAGTAGGTTGTTGGACTAATATGGTTCCCTCTGGTTTTTTAAAACTTGCTAGGCATTATTTACCTCGCACAGTCTTAACCCTTCCACCATGGTTTCCCCATTTAAGGTGCCCCCATTTTTCCCATTTCTCCCTTCATAATACCCTTCTCCTATCGTCCCACCTCTCTTGAGCTCCTTCTTTCCCTTTATCCCCTAGTTGCATGTATAACCTTCCCTCCTCCCTCCCCTTAAAATGACCCCATTTTTATCCACATCTCCCTTATTAACACTTGTTTCCTACTGTTTTTCTCTTTCAGATTCTCTTTTCCTTTACCTCCCTGGTCCCTTTTCATTATCCTGGTTCATGTAGTTAAGGCTGGATACATAATCACTTATTTCTTTCCCTTTATCCCCTAGTTGCATGTATAACCTTCCCTCCTCCCTCCCCTTAAAATGACCCCATTTTTATCCACATCTCCCTTATTAACACTTGTTTCCTACTGTTTTTCTCTTTCAGATTCTCTTTTCCTTTACCTCCCTGGTCCCTTTTCATTATCCTGGTTCATGTAGTTAAGGCTGGATACATAATCACTTATCAGGATTTGGTTCTAGGATCCACATGAGGGAGAATTTATGTCATTTTTTTTCCCCTGAGTTTGTGTTACTTCACTTAGTATATGTTTCTAGTTCCATCCATTTACCTGCAAATTTCATGATTTCATCTTTCTTCATTGCTGAGTAAAACTCCATCATATAAATGAACCATTTTCATTATCCACTTGTCAATTGAGGGACATTTAGGTTGCTTCCATCTCTTAGCTATTGTGAAAAGAGCAGCAACAAACATGGATGTACAAGTGTCTCTGCAATAGGATGAGTTCTTTGGGTGTATGCCAAGGAGTGGTATAACTGG